GTACCCGAAGGAGTGGACCGATATTGCCCATCTCCTAACTCGATCTTAGTTTTATAATAATTTTACAATGCACCAAGTTTGGAGCTAATCAGTTACTAACTTCGAGAGTTATCGGGCACACCAGCCAGACTGGCAAACAGGCAGACGGACGGAAGAACACCCCTGATTCGACTCCAAATGCAATGAAACGAAGATAGCTAAGGTTTTAAAAAATTGGAATAGTAGTCCCTGGATTATTCTTCTAAATCCCGGATCATACGCCAAAAAAAATCCTCAAAAACAGTCGTTCAAAACTTCATTTAAATTCCACAGATCGAAATTTTTCCACACCTCCTGCCTTCCTTTCCGTTAATTAAATTTTCAAACCAAAAAACACAAATTCCACCTCTTTCTCTCCATCAAAATTTATGTTTTTATGAATTCCAATAAAAATATTTAAGTGGAGGAGCGAAAGACAAAAAGTGGCGCCAATTAAAGAAAATTGAAAAAAAAAAAACAGACACACACAGACAAAATTTCCCTCTCTACTATGGGAACTGGCCAGGCAGGCCATCACAAAACTAAGTGTGTCGTCTTTAGTTTTCAATTAAAAATTATTTCTCACATCACATGGAAGCACACAGGGGGACACACATAATTTCATAAAAAAAAAAACACAAACAACAACAAAAACATGTGTATCTGCCGAATTACATTCTCACCGCTGCAGAATGTGGGTCAGTAGTTTGTTCCTTGCCAATGATGATGACGATCAATGAAATCAATCATGATGATGATGATGATCATCATCATTAACTTCATTGCCATTGATAATGATGATATTTATGGTGTTTCCATTTAGTCTCCCTTGTCAATTTCAATTGTTTCGATTTCGATTATTATGGAAAGTCCGTTCGTTCATTCTGTCCTTAACTGTTTTGGGCATTTATTGGTTTGCCATAAAAATTCAATTGAACATCTCCTAACATCTCTCTGGTCATTTTATTTTTTTTCCATGCCTATTAACCGTTGGCATTGTTTGTGTTTTTTTGTGACTTAAACAATATTTAATCGATTTTAATTTAATTGTTTATGTTCAACTCAATGACAGCTGTCACCTTTATTTCTGTTTATATTTTGACTTTGTTGCTAGCTGTGGGGTAAATAAAAAAAAAATAAAATGAATTAAAACCTCACATAGAAGACGCAGACGAAAAAATCTTGTGTGGGTGAAATTTTTAGGCATTTTTGTTTCTCAATTTGTTGTTTTATTTTTTTATGGGGTTTTTGTATTTTTTTTTTTTTTTTGTTTTTAGGTGTCTTTTGTTGTATTTTGATTGTATGTCATATTACTATTTAATTTATATAAATTAAATTGCAGCATATTTTTTTGTTTCGTTTCCAATGTCTTGTGAAATCGTGAAAAGACAACAAGCAATTAATCGAAAAAGTTTAGAGACAATTGTTGTTGTTGTTGTATTTTATTTTTTGTTGTTTAATTAGAAAAAAACTTAAAATTTGTTTTTTTTGATGTAATGAAAATTAAATTAACAAGCCAGAATAAAATAGAATTTAATTAATTAATTAATTACAAAGGTAGGGATGCCAATTAAATAAATAATTAAAAATATTAAAAAAAATATTGAACACATAGATTACCAATTGCCTCAAAAAGGGGTCTAAGCAATGTTTAAGACCGCCTTTGTGGGGGAGGTATATGAAACTGAGGGTCGATATATATCATCTTCACGCCAGATCTTGTTTTAGGAATAAATATTGGGATGTTTGAGATTTGAAGAAAATCGGATGATTATTTCGCATTTTATGAGATATATACTTATACAAAATTGTTGACCCGTTGTGAGGGAGGTACCAGAAGAATTCGACATCTACCATTTTCACATCAGATCTTGCGGTGGTAAAAATATTGGGATGTGAAAAGTTTAGAGAGAATCACATGCATATTTTATATTTTATGAGGGTTTTGGTTATTCAAAATATTGAACCCTTTGTGGGGGAGGTACCAAAAGGGTGGGACCTATATCTTCTATCTTCACACCCATTCCTGCCCTACCAGAAATATTGGAATATGTGAAGTTTGTAGAGAATCGAATGCTTATAAACCGTGGCATCAGAATAAATTACGAATATTATCACGAAAATATTCTGGAGGGTGTATTAAAGCCTTGGGCACGCAAACATTTTGGCCACAGACCTTCGACATTTTAACAAGACTCAGGTATGGTGCGATGGTACCATACCAAAGTGTCGATCACCTCAAGCAAGCGCTTCAAATGGGTCAAAATACCGCAGATCAACATTCGGGCAGCGTGTGACGGTTTCATTCACCATAATTCGTGCCAAAGGCGACCAATTCGAACAAATCTTAACTTTTTCTTAAATTTGATGCTATTTCCGACATTTTTTGCTTTCATTCAATAAAATTAAAAAAAAAATGTTAAAATTATGGCGTTTGACTTTGTTGGAGTTTTTCTTATCTCACCCTGTAAATAATTCTGAAAAGTAAAACGTTGTGTTTGTCCTAAAAATTTAGTTTATAAAAATCCACGTCAGATACATTCCTGAAGAATATTTCCACAATTTAAAAAAATTTTCCAAAAAAACAAAGCCCTTGAAAAAATTGCAGGATGTGCTATCTTTTAAATAATCCAAAAAATGACCCTTAAAAAATTTCACTTAAGCTCAAATTAAAAATTATGGCTTTGGACTTTGTTGTAGTTTTTTTATCACACCCTGTAAATAATTCTGAAAAAAAAGTTGTGTTTATGTCCTAGAAATTTAGTTATTACAAAATTTACGTCAGATACATTCTTGAAGAATATTTCCACCATTAAAAAAAATAATTCCAAAAAAAAAAAAAAAAAAAATAGCCCTTGAAAAACTTGCAGGATGTGCTATCCTTCAAAAAATTCAGAAAATAGCCCTTGAAAAAATTTCACTTAAGCTCAAATTAAAAAAAAAAAAAATATAAAACTATGACTTTGGACTTTGTTGCAGTTTTTTTATCTCACCCTGGAAATAATTCTGAAAAAAAAACGTTGTTTGTCCTAGAAATTTAGTTACTACAAAATTTACGAAAGATAGATTACTGAAGAATATTTCCACTATTAAAAAAAAAAATAATTCCCACAAAAAAAAAATATAGACCTTGAAAAAATTGCAGGATGTGCTATCCTTTAAATAATTCAGAAAATAGCCCTTGAAAAAATTTCACTTAAGCTCATCCTTTAAATAATTAAAAAAAAAAAACAATATTAATTATTAATATCCTTTTCCAATCCATCCTTGAAGTATACATTTCACTTAAGCTCATCCTTTAAATAATTAAAAAAAGAAAAAAATCAATATTAATTATTAAAATCCTTTTCCAATCCTTCCTTGAAGTATATCTCTAGAATTTTGAAAAAAAAAATTTAGCCCTTGAAAACATTTTCTTACAGCTTGCAGTTCTACTAATTCTTTAAAATTAAAAAAAAGAACAAATATTCACCTTAGAACTTGTTGTGTGCTATTTTCAAAATTCACCTCCAACAAACACGACTCCGATTCCCCAAATCAGGTTTACCACATAATAAAAATTCATTCATAATTTGCCTGCCAGCCATGTGTTCTAAATCGCCTAATGATCATTAAACATTAAGGCAAAATGATCATTTGAATTTTGAAAATTTGGTGAACCTAATAATGATGACCCATGGCCTTTGTCTCGATATTCATTCATAACCATGCATTGTAATGATCTCATAGGAATCCATAATTATCTTTAACATTATAGACATTTATGTTGTTGTTGTTTTTTTTTTTTTTTTTTTTTTTTTGGAAATTATTTTTGTGTTTTTTGTTTGTCCAGCTAGTTGTGGAAGTGTTGATGAGGTTTGAAACAAATCATGAAAATAGCCGAAAAAAAAATCTCTCAAAATAACAACAACACTTGAGATTTTATTGACCAGAAAAAAACAAAACGCACAACAACTTTGTCTCAATTGAGAGTGTGGCGTCATTGATGTTTCGTTAGATGGGAGATGTTGTTCGAGCAGATCGAATTATACAGTGGAACCGGGTTAAAATGAATAAAATGTATTTTTCAAATACATGACTTCCATAAAGGGACGACCTCCAAAAGACAACTTTGCAGGGATGGATATGTCAATATTCCTATAATTTTTTAAATTATTTATATCTAAGTTCCACTGTCTATCATTTTTATCAAAAAATATCTTTTTTTTTTGAATTCAAGATTGACACACAAAAGAAGTATTTGAACAACTATTTACCGTTCGGCGTTTTCTTCTTTTGTTTTTCTTTCTTTTGGCCCCAGCCGGGCCTATAACCCATGATTTTCTTTGCAAGCGGTTTATTTTTCCCCTCCTCTTTGTATTGACTTATTTTTTTTTTATTATTATTTGCATTTAAAGTGGCCATAATGAAAGTTTATATGCGCTAAAAATCACTACCGTTTAATTGCAGTTTCTTTATTGTCAATCTTGTGTTTTTACGATAGTGGCATTTGCCGCCTTCCCCCCCCCCAGAAGGGGGAATCAGCAGAATAGCCATTATGCCATTAATGATCACCGAAAAAAAACGTGTCCATTATTTTGCTTTTGTACATTTCATATTTGACGATGTTGTTTTGTTGGCTGGCACACATTGAGAACCCTTGAGTTGAAGTGTTGAAAAGTGAAATTTCATGTCTTCCGAATTTACATAGAGGCTGCAGACAGGCAACAGGCTGCCGTCGGCTAAATTTAGGCAAATTTTCGACAGAAACACTTGGCCAGGCTTTTAAATGAAATGGAAAATTAATTGAAATTAGTTCAAAATAACAAAATGAAATTGGCCAAATTATTAGATTTTGTCTAGCAGCAGATACTTGAAGAGGCCCTCAAAGGCCTTTAAGAGAGGAACTTTCTATGAAAAAAAAAATTAATTAAATTGTTAATTTCATGATTATTTTCAAAATTTATTACGATTTTTGACATTTATTTCCCTCTTTTTTTTAGGTGGCGTAGCCCCTGGAACCCCATCAGCGGCCATGATCATGGAAGGGCTTGAAACCCTAGTGGCGCCATCGCATCACACATTCCTACTCACCGAATCAGCTGCTGCGGCGCACTTCAATGTTTTGAGCTTCGACACATGCCTCTTTAAGACCTCCGCCCAGTCGAGCCCCTCAACGTCGGGCGCCACATATCTCACCACACCATCTAGTTTTGGCGGCGGCCCCTTGGGCAGCCAAACTCTGCTGCATTATAATCTATCAACATCGACCTCATCCTCATTGTCACCAACCTCGTTGGCGGAAAGTTCCAGTGCCACGTCAGCGGCAGCGGGCACAACGAGTATCGTAGCCACAGCAGCATCACGCCATCAGAATTCCCAACGTTTGGGTAGTATATCGGTGGCACCTGAAACGCAACAGCATCAGCACCAGGGCTCACCAATACATCAACACAATCATCAGCAGCAGCAGCATCAGCATCATAATAGTCCTTCAATTGCCAGTGCCGCTGTTACCATATCGACAAATACGAACAGTGGCCGCAGCTCGGCATCACATTTGAGTCTATTGAACACCACGCAACATAGTCCGGTGGCGTGTGCCAGCGTGGCGGATAGTGCCGATATTAAACACTCCCAATTGGAGGCTCAGTCGGGTGATTTGAATACACCCGTGACCACATCGAGTGATATACCATCCTTTTTTGGCCCATCCACCGTTGTCGAACCACCACCCATAACAGGTAAGGCATTTTTTTGGATATTTTTTTTAGGTGACTATCACAAAGAAACCAAGACCCTCCACCACTAGAAACAGAAACCTCAAAAATACCGAAAATCGTTATATATAGGGCAATATTAGTGGACCTGTTGAAAATAATTATTGTAGGGAGAGAACAGACCTACCGAGAACTCCAATTGTCAAGTTTCATCTAATTTATTTGGAAATTCTGGCAAAAAATCTTCAATCTTCGGGAGGTAGGGTTATATGGGGGCTATATCAATTAATGGACCTGTGGGGAATATTTCTTGCAAGGAGAGAACAGACCTACTAAGAGCCCCAATTGTCAAGTTTTATCTAATTTGTTTGGAAATTCGAGCAAAGAAGCTTCAAAATATCGAAAATCGGGAGGCATTTTTATAAGGGGGGCATATCAGTTTATGGACCTATAGCTAACATTTTTTGCAAGGAGAGAAAAGACCTACCAAGAACCTCAAATGTAAACTTTTAGCTAATTTAGTTTGAAATTGTGACAGAAGCCTTTAAAATACCGAAAATCGGGAGGTACAGTTATATGGGGAATATCAATTAGTGCACCTGTTGGAAAATTTTTTTTGTATGGGGAGAACAGACTTACAGAGAACCCCAATAGTCAAGCTTCATCCAATTTGGTTGGAAATTGTGACAGAAGGCTTTAAAATACCGAAAATCGGAAGGTACCGTTTTATGGTGGCTATATCAGTTAGTGGACTTGTAGCAAACTTTATTTGCAAGGATACTACAGACCTACCGAGAACCCCAATTGTCATGTTTCATCTAATTTGCTTAAAAATTCTGGCAAAAAATCTTCAAAATACCGAATATCGGGAGGTACGGGGAGGTAGAGTTATTTTATTCATTTATTTAAATTTTTAAAAGTATTGGACAATTTATTAATCACAATTTTTGATGGGAATTGAAACCTTATTACTTGAAATTCTCGACAACATCTCTCCGGATCTTTGAAAAATATTTTGAAAGAAAATTCAAGAGCTTAAAAAACATTCTCCGAAATATTCTTAAAATATTCGTGGATGTTGCTCCTATAATTCTCAACAAAATATTCTCATATTTTTTATAATGCAATTTTGAAATAATTTCGAAAAATTGCAACCCCAACCTAATTCGTAATAAATTTGATAATTTGTATTTCTTCAAAGCATTACTGAATGATCAGTGGCAAAAAAAGATTAACAATTAAATAAAATTCAAAACTAAGGGAAAAAAGCAAACATGCAAACTTAGGAATTAATTAATCATTTATTAAACATTTCCGTTCAGTGTCAATGTTTTGTTTTATTTTTTCTTTTTTTTCGAAAGAAAGAAAAAACCTCAAAACGAAACGCATAAAGCTGCAAATTAAAACAGTAATCTGAACTGGGAACTTGGGCAGTGGTTGCCTTGATGGCTGGCTGGCTGGCTGGCGGGCTAGCTGACTGCCCGCTTGGTCACTTGCTCAATTACATTTCAACAAATTATTGTTCGGATGGCATGTTGCTCATTTTATTAGAGCAATAAGAACAACAACAACAAGGAAACCCCATATGAAAACCCAAAGTATAAATCTTGATAATTAAATATTATTTAGTAGTTGAAAGATTTGTAGAAGAGGAGGTCTGGTCAGATTATGTGCATTATAGTAATTTTTTCTAATTGAATTAATGAAGATTTGAACACGAGATCATGTTGTAGAGTTATTATGTAGCTGCGGATTTTATTTTTTTTTTAATGCGGAATAGTTTGTATTTAGTTTTTCCCCTAAGTTGTGGATGTTACTATAAATTATATTAATTGTGCATAGTGAATTCCTTTTGTTTTGCTATAGGAAATTCTGAATTTAAGTTCAATTTTTCTGCAACAAAATTAAAATTGGTTTGGAATTATTTTTTAATGGGATATGGTTTGTAGCTATTAAAGCCAATTTTTAAATGAAGTCATAACTCAATTTGTAAATTCTAAAGTCTTTTTGTATTAGCCTCCAATTATTGGCCAAGCCAAAAATACAAATGTTTTGTTCTCCCCCTATTCTTGGCTCATTACCAGAATAAGTTTCGCCATAAATCACAGCCAATTTAATTACTCTTAAAAACAAAACTTTTTTTGTTTTAATACTTGACTAGTTAAATGTGTTATGACAAAATAATGGTCCAGTCAACCTCCCCGCAAAAAAAAATTTATATTTATTGGGAGTAACACCAAGCAATTATAACTTTACAAATGATTTAAATAAAAAGCCATAAATGTTGTTAGTTTTTTTCCGACAACAAGCAGCCATAAAATTTCACACAAGACATAATAATGTATAGATCCCCAAGGATGGACAATGAAAATGCCATGCAGTTTTCTGGGAAATGCCATTGATGGCATATTTCCAGCCAAAAAAAAAATCCCATAGTTCTTGGCTTTTTGGCAAATTTATATATTTTATTTTGACATTTCATTGAATTATTGTCGTTGACTATTATTCATATTGGCTGATTAAGTCTCCACCCCCGCCCCTTCCCCAAAAATACTTTCTTATTCCAGCATATTATTTTATTATCTTAACTCGGGGGGTCAAAGCATCTACTACTAAGTAGCTGTCGCAGTCCTTTGCCAAACAATTGCGTTTTGTTTAAAATCGACTTTGTTTGTCTTGTTTGTCGCTTTGCTCTTGTTTCTTTTTCCATCGCTTTTTTCTCCGCCACTTTATTATCTTAAAGGGTATTTATGGTGATTTTATGTCATTTCTAATAAATGAGCTTCGCTTGCCAAATTTTACGATTAAAAGCTGATTTATCAATGTCAAAAACGAGCGCAATACATAAATAAATACATGCACACGCTTTGCTTGCTCAAGAGAATTAAAAAAAATATAAATAAAAAAAAATCTCCACAATGACAACTTCAGTTAAGATTTGTTGGCATTATGGAAATAAATTTTTATTTGAATTTTTTGGAACGGTTTTGAGTGGATGGGGGGGGGATAACATGTAATCCCCATTTCCATACGCATTTTGTAGCTGAAATAAAATGCCCAAAATAAGAAGGCTTTGAAGGGGTCTTAAAAAATTAAGTGTTCAAAATCATCATTTCACTTACGACTGAACTCAGCCTAGAAGCAAGTACTTCAAATTTGGTGAAAATGGGTTCGATATAGATCTAGCTCCCATATATACGCTTCATGTGTAATATGCACTCCACAACAGTAATATTTGGTACCAGATTTCCGATACAATTCAGAAATACCTCCTTCAAATTCAATCGAGATCAGTTCAGATGTTGATATAGCTCCCATATATATCTTTATCCGATTTCAGGTTTATTGCCCACCAAATGGCTAATATCAGTCCAAATTGACTTAATTTTAAGTGTTCAAAATCATCATTTCACTTACGACTGAACTCAGCCTAGAAGCAAGTACTTCAAATTTGGTGAAAATGGGTTCGATATAGATCTAGCTCCCATATATACGCTTCATGTGTAATATGCACTCCACAACAGTAATATTTGGTACCAGATTTCCGATACAATTCAGAAATACCTCCTTCAAATTCAATCGAGATCAGTTCAGATGTTGATATAGCTCCCATATATATCTTTATCCGATTTCAGGTTTATTGCCCACCAAATGGCTAATATCAGTCCAAATTGACTTAATTTTAGCCCTTTCGACGAAATTCAGCCCAGAAAAAAGTACTTTAAATTTTGATGAATATCGGTTCAGATATAGCTCTAGCTCCCATATATATGCTTCATCCAATGTTTAAGTCCCTCACATTCGTAATATACACTCTACAACAATGATACCTAGAACCAGATATAAGGTAGAGCTCAGAAATACCTTTGCTTAATTTTGTCAGATATGGATATAGCTTCCATATATATCTTCATCCAATTTCAAGGTTATTGTGCTCCAAAAGTGTGATATCACAAATCGCGACAGAGTCCACATTATTAAAACTAGGGCTTTGAAAGGTTAATATTATATGCTAGCTTATCGGTGTGTGAAATGGGCTGTATTGATCTACGGTTAGGTTAGCCCCCATATAACGATACCTCTAGATTTTCGGTATTTTGAAGGTTTTGGCCACAATTTCCAATGAAATCAGCTGAAACTGAAACTTTACATTTGGGGTTCTAGGTAGGTCTGTTTTCTCTCTGCGAAAAATGTTCGCTACAGCTCCATTTATTTGTATATCCTATATATAAAGATCCCTCCCGATTTTCGGTATTTTAAGGATTTTTCAACAGAATTTTCTCAAATTTAGTATTTGTAGTTCGCAATTGTAGTTCGAACTCAGCCTAGAAGCAAGTACTTACAGTTTGGTGAAAATCGCTTGAGATATAGCTATAGCTCTCATATTTATATATAAGTTATATCTGATGGGCCTCATAACTGTACATTCAGATATTCCGATTTGTATTTGTTTTATTATCAAAGGGAAGTGAAAGTTTGGCCCGGCCGATGATGCACAAATTTGACCCCGCCCAAGTTTTGACCTTTACATAAAGTTTTTTTTTTTGAAAATCTTCAACTTCGCCTTTTTTAGACTCAGAAACGCCAATTTCTTTAATTTTTCAGAAAAAATATTTAAAATGAAATTACTCAGAACTCCATACAGTTCTGCATTTAAATAGAAAATTACAAAAAATGTTATTACAACTTCTATTCCCACAATACATCACCATAAGTAATAACTCTCAATATTATATAATATTTTTCTACAGTCGTTTATTTTCCCAACGAAACCCCCTCCCCTCTATTCACTCTGCGATAAAACTGCAGAAAAAAAAACTGCACCAGATTTATTTATCTTTAACGTTCTCCCAGGCCGGCAGGCATTAACATTGACATTGAGTACAGTATGTCAATAAACTTGTAACGAGTCATTCGTCATCTGTACTACACATGCATAAATAAATAAAGTCATTATTGGTCTGAGTGTTCGGACAGACAGACGGAGAGCCGGACAGGACCATAACACCCCGTAAAAAAACAACTCCCAACATCGAATATCCGTCATTTGTTGAAAACCAATATTAAATGATCATAAACAATGAATGAAATGAATTGAATGTAAACGCAAAAACAACAACAAAAAAACTTAAAACGCTCCAAGAGATTGATGTCACCTCACATTAAGAAATGACTGAGACGATAAAACAATACTCCATACAGCTTCCATTAAAGCTGAGCGTGTGAGTGCGATAAGAAGGAGGGTTGTTGGAGGGTTCATTGTTTTTGTTTTTTTCTTAGCTTGGCATCATCATTAACTACAGCGCCACTGTAGGGGGAAATCAGCAAAAACAACAACAACAAAAGCTTAAATAACCACAGCAACAACAATTGCAACTATTAATGCTCTACTCCATTGCAATTGCTTTGATTGTAAGGTTTGAGGCGGTTTTTTGCTATTCCATTTGCCTTTATTGCGATCAAGCAAAAGCTGTGATTTTCTACTTGACTTTGTTGTTTCGTTTTTTTTTTTTTTTTTGCCACTCACAGCTGAGATGTCTCAACTAACACTTGGCCGACTGACTGGCTGCTGGGTTGGTCTTCTCCAATCTTCTCCGTCCGTCCGTCTGTCTTTCTGTTTATTGAGTTGACACCAGTTATACTGCTTCTGTTCCGTATCTTGGCAAAACAAAAAACGACATTTCTTGATGCTGATGATTGTAAATTCCTGAGAATGTAATTGATCGAACCGTCAAATCAAAAGCCCAAGTGCCAAGCATAAAATAGCATCGGAGACAAATAAACCCTCCTTTAAGTTAGACCTCCCGTAAGGTGATTTCCCAGGAATTCTCGCCGAAGCTGAGTGTCTCTGTTTTAAATGATCTTCGTTACATTTCTAGACATGGAAAAGGCTTCACTTTCAATTCACGTTCGGTTTTTTTCATTTCATTTGATGTTATTTTGCCGAACGCCAAAAGTGTCATTATGACAAGGAATGTTTAGTTTCAAAAGAGAAATATTTCAGGGAATTCTGTTTTGTCACAAAAGACAAAACACTTGGTGGATTTTGGAATGAAGGAAAGAAATCAAACTACAGGAAGTTTTGAAACAAAAAAAAAAAAAAAAAAAAAAAAAAAATAATATTTTGGAAATGCTGGTAGCCCAAGTGCCCATAAGTAGGCACCACATCGGGTTTGGCAGAAACTTTCAAAATGCAAAAAAATCGGAAGTTACCTTTATATAGGCGCTAAATTAGTGGACATGAATGGAATATTTTTTGCAAAAAATGCCGAAAATCGGGAGATAAACTTATATGGTTTGGAATATAACATTTTTGCATGGAGAAAAAAACCCCAATTGTCATGCTTCTTTTAATGTGGTTGGAAATTGTAGCAGAAACCTAAAAAATACCGAAAATGTGGAGGTACCGTTATATGGGGGCCATACCAATTACTGGGCCTGTGGAGAATATTTTTTAAGAGAGAAACAGACCTACGAAGAACCCCAACTGTCAAGTTTCAGCTAATTTGGTTGGAAATTGTGTCAGAAACCATCAAAATATAGAAACTCTGGAGGGAAAATATATTTAAATGTGGATCAATACAGCCCATTTTCAATACCAATCAGCCGGCATATAATATAAAACTTTGTGCCACATTTCAAAGCTATCGAATAAAGAATGGGGGTTCTATCATCACAGACTGACAGACGAGCATCGCTAAATCGCCTTATCAATTTATTCTGATCAGGAACACATATCTTTGTTGGGGTTTCTGACGAATACTTCTGAATGACAAATTAATTTTTAAAAATCTACCAAAACCTAAAATTTAAACCCTTTTCAATATTTTATTGGAAAGAAACAAATATGAAAATATTTCACCAAATTGAATTCCTAAAAATAGACACCAAAAATTGCAAGTATTTTCATTTCCATATGGAAGAAATTCTTAAAAGAGAAGATTTAAAAATTTTGAAGATTTCTATGTATTTTTTACTTGACCCCCAAAAGTAGACTTTTTTTCTTCAAAACTCACAATACCCCTTTCAATTTTTATGTTTCCCTTATTAATTGAATTTTCATTTTTATTTTTTTTTTTTTTTCATTTCAGGTTCAATTGAATCTGACGATTTGTCATTGGAGCCACACCCGGTGGCCGCCAGTCCGGTGTTGTGCAGCCCCCTGAAGGAGGAGCGCAGTACCCCGCCTACATTAACAATTGTTAAGGAAGAGACAAGTAATAATTGTTGTACCATGTATCCCATAACCACCACCACAAACACCACAAGTGCCGCAACCTTACACAACAATACAACAACAACACAACATCATCATCAACAGCAACAACTAAGTCAGACACCGGCCACATCCAGTCAAACACATACAACACAAAGCAATACCACAACGCCACACAACCAGCTGCATCATCAACACCATCATCAGCAACAGCAACATAATACACAACACATGCATGTGGGCCAACAGTCGCCACAACATCATCAACACTATCAACAACAACAACAACAAAACCAAATGTATCACAATCAATTACACCAACAACACCTGCAACAGCAACAACAACAACACCAACTGCATGTGCAACAACACCAACACTATCAACAGCAACAACACCAACACCAGTTACAACACCACAGCCATCACCATCATCAGCAACAACACCAACACCATCATCACTATCAACAACAGCAGCAACAACAACAACAACAAGACCAACAACAATCACAGCATGCAATTAACAATAGCTCCTCTAGTAGTAGTAGTAGTGGTAAAATATCATATCGTGGCATTTTTACTACCACAGGTAATAGCGCCGCCATGAGTGGCCTAAATGCCGCATCGGCCGCCGCAGCTGCGGCTGCAGCAGCCGCCGCCGGCTCTGCTGTCAATGTACATCATCAATCGCAACAACAGCAACACAGCCAACAACAACAACAACATCAACAATCCCAGATGCATTCACCCTCCCTGGCTGTTTTGCCCGGACCCATGTCCCCACCTTCGGCCGGTTTGGGTAACAGCTGGAATCTGCCCAGTCCCGATAAGGCCCTCTTCCAACCGCCAATGTTTAGTCTGCTGGGTCCTGGACCCCAAAATGCCAGCCAAGCCCACTATGCCAGCCATCAGCAACAGTCAACCATTCCCGCCTCAACTCCCTCACCCTCGGCCCAACATCACATGCATGCCGCTGCAGCTGCGGCTGCTGCTGCCGCCGCCTATGACGATCGTCATGTAGAGCTTTTGGGCCTGCAAATGGATTGCTCCCCCATACTCCTCAAGCAAACAGCTCCGCCCAGTTATGGAAGTGCCGGCACCTTCACCAGCCTGGCTGATATGCAGCAGCAGGCCCAAAATGCCCATGATTTGCAGCAGTATCGCCAGCAAATGGGTGTGGCCACACCGAAATATCAATGGCTTGATTCACCGGCAGAATACTCAACGGGTGGCCAGCAAACGGCCACATTGGTTCTACCCGGCCCATCTTCCGCCTCATCAAGCACGGCCTTGGGTGGCGGCATTATACCCAAACAAGAAGCCTATGCTGAGCCCACACACACGCCCACCCACCACATGCAATCGGCCAGCTCATCTTCGGGTGGACCGGCCGGTACTGGATCTCAGGCCTCATTCTCGGTGGTCCAACTGGCCGAATACAGTCCCTCCACCAGCAAGGGCCATGAAATCCTTTCCCAAGTCTATCAACAGAGTGCCATGCCACTGAAACTGGTCCCGGTGAAGCCGCGCAAATATCCCAACCGTCCCAGCAAGACACCGGTGCATGAGCGGCCCTATGCTTGTCCGGTGGAGAACTGTGATCGCCGTTTTTCCCGCTCCGATGAACTAACCCGCCACATACGCATCCACACCGGGCAAAAACCATTCCAATGTCGCATTTGCATGCGTTCCTTCAGTCGTTCCGATCACCTGACCACCCACATTAGAACGCACACGGGTGAGAAACCATTCTCTTGTGACATTTGTGGCAGGAAATTTGCACGTTCCGATGAAAAGAAGAGGCATGCCAAAGTTCATCTGAAGCAGAGGGTGAAAAAGGAAAAGCTTAGCCAGCAACAGCAGCAGCAACAACAACAACAGCAGCAGCAACAGCAACAAATGCAGGCCCAGTTGGCCCAGTCGTCGGCAGCCCAGCAGCATCATCAACATCATTCGCATCACTCGCATATGCTTCATTCCGCCGATATTTCCATAGTAACATCCAGTGCTACCAGTTTGTAGGTGGAGAAGAAATCCCAGGCAACAATGCCGTCGCCGTCTCCACCACCCTTACGACCACCACCGCCACCGCCATCTTTAACAACGGCGGGGGCGACGACGACGACGACGGCAATGGGGTCTTCATTGAAAATCTATCGAGCTGTGAATGAGGCCAAACGCTTACCACCGCTTATAAAACCCGACGATTTCTCCACCACCATATGGCACTCGCCGCTCTCGCCCAACACACCGCTCGACACAATGCCCACGGCCGAATTGTCGCTGAAAAAAAGTGAACAACAGCAACAATTTGAATTCGGTATGGACCACCTAAGGGCAATGGAGGTGGATGAGGATGTGGACAATGATCCCGCCAGCACCGAGGGCGAACTCATTGAAGATTCTGAATTGGAAATGGCATTGGATTTAATGGAAGAAAATGCAAACGAAAATTCCAATTCAAATTCAAATGATACGATTCTTACGACTTCACCCGAACGAGCAGGCAGTGAAGAACCGGGTCCAGGTGGTTGTGCCACAATGGAATTGGTAAATGTCAAGAAATCTCGAGAAGCAAATAACAACAAACACATTGCCATATTGAGTGGTGAAAATAATCACGATATGGTTATATTGTTCCTTACCGAGTAGATTTTTGCGGGATATGGCTACCTACCCATACATACAACAGATATGCACACATACATATACACAAACATACCTACATACAATTAGCTAGAGATAAAGGTTATTCTTTTTTCCGCCTCTAACAACAATATTCCAATAGAGCTCCCTAATGAATTAAGCAGATAACTAAAATTTAAAATGAAAAAAACAAAGAAAAAAAAACACGTTTTAAGTAAATTATACAAAGAAGCTAAAGAAGTAGTAAAAAGACAATAACTAACTAAATTTTAGTAGGTCTCAGAAAATTTTACCTTGTTAAAGAAACAAAAAAACCAAAACGAAAATAGAAACAGGAAAATCATTAAGGAAAATATTACAAATCATATGGAAATTACAAAAATAGTCAGCTAAAGTTATTTAAAAAAATAGAAAACTCTACAGAACATGGAGAAAAAATTAGGAAAGGGAGAGGAAGAGATAGAGAGAGGAAAGGAAAGAGAGAGGGAGAGAGAAACGATGAAGGCATCTTAAGTTTTCCTTTTATTCAAATATTCATACCTTCATCTTAATGTCTCACCAACAATAATATAAAACAGCTGATTGTATAAAACAGCTGTTGGCAACCTAATTAAAATGCGTTCTCTCAGCAGAACAACATAAATCAGCTGATTGCTACATAAAACAGCTGTTGGTAACTTAATTCAAATGTGCTCCTAGGTCCTAATGAGTAGGGAGTTGAAGAGAGAGATATGGATAAAAGGAAAGAGAGAGAGAGGGAGGGAGAGTTAAAAAGGCTGAAGGCATCTTAAATTTTCCTTACATAAAACAGCATAAACATAAAACAGCTGATTCGTAGAACAAACTAAATTTAAAAGCGCTCCCTTACCGAATAGGTGAATATTTGTTTCTAGGTTCAATCAGTGGTCGTCAGTGCCTTATTCCATCCTACATGGGCTAATATTACACATTTGGTGCACAATAAAAGGCAAATCGGACGAAGTTATATATGAAAGCTATATCCAACCGATCTCGATAAAATTTGGGAAAAGTATTTCCATGCTGTATTCGAAGTATTTCCCAAATATCGTTGTTAGCGAGTACATATTACGGCTGCGGAGGACAAAAATATCAATTCGGATGATTAATATATATGGGAGCTATAGCTATATCTGAACCGATTTCGATCAAATTTGGCATACTTCTTTCTATGCTCAATTTGGTGAAAAGTGCCAAATTCCATCCCATTTGGGCTGATATTAGAAACAAATGACTTGTGCAAATTTTCATCTAAATCGGGAAATAAATGCGACCTGTACTTTGTTTACAAAAATAGATGGACAGACAGATGGACCGACGGACATGCATAAATCGACTTAGAATGTGCTTCTATGCAGATCATCTAAAGGAACTATGGGTCTATCTCATTTCCTTTTGCCAGTTACAAACAAATATCCAAAGACGTAATAACCTGACCACCTTGTGGTGTAGGATATAAAAAATGGTCCTTTAACTGCCCCTAAATTTATGCCACAGTTTTTTCTTTTAAATATTTTAAAACACCTGTTATTTTGTTTGAAATAATATATCAATTGATTGCTTGTGATGGCTCTAACTCCTCCCATTTTTTTTGATTTTTGCATTCGACATTAAATGTGTCTTGTTTTTGTTGTTCCCTAACGGAAATCGGCCATAAAAACGAATATTCACGCTCATAAATACCGCAAAAATTTAAAGAGTGAAAAAAAAAAAAAACGCGAAACAAGTTTTTAACATTTTGTTTGACACTGAAATGTTTTTTTTTTTTTTTTTTTTTGCATTTAGCAATTGTTGGCTGGATGGATGAATGGCGGGACAATAAAAATGTATTTTAATAATAGTCGACATTTTAATGATTGACCAAATGCAAAAAATGAAAATTTTTGAAAAAAAATAACCAAAGGAATGATTTTGAGTTTATTATTTTGTGAATACCAGCAAATTTCCCTGGGTGAGTGGCCTGTGTGGAATTGAGTAACCGGCTTAAAAAGCTGTAAAATTATGGCCGCACCAAAAATAAATGTCAAAAAATTATCAATTGTAAAAAATTTTTTTGGGAAAGAATTTGAATTATTTTGAGATTAACATCATCCGAATTTTGTAAATGACCTCAAAGTGCAGGCTTTAAGTGGCCATAAATATAAAAATGGTTATTTATAAATAACCATATTGGTTTCAAATTCCCTCTTACGCCTTTATTCCTAAGGGGAAAATTTTCCCACTTAAGGGAACTTGGTATGGCATCCTTTTTCAATTAATTTTTTTTTTACTTGACATATCGCTGGATTTACCAATGGTTTAGGTTTAAATAGCTATGAGATAAGGGACTGCGCCCGGGCACTTTACCAGCTTTTAACCACAGCCAGGCAACAGTAGGCGCGCATTTTTTCACTGAGAGTAATTTTCCCCACACCAACATTCTTCACAGAAACATTTCAAAACAATGCAACCAAACAGCGGAAAAAATTAGGAGAACATAAATGTTTGACTCTCTGCCTTGCTCTGCTTTAGTCCCCGGCATTATTTCCAAGTTCGAATATGGTTTTCACTATGATCACATCTATAACAGCGGGTCCAATTTAAACCAGGACAGGTCAGAAAGTCACTTCTTTTTGTTCTCCAAATTTTGTTACTTTCTGATTAAATCGTTTTTCAATGGTTCTTATTGTGAGCGTGGAGAGAATTACGCTCGTTGAAGGCACACGTACGTAGATTTGCCTTGAGCTTTGGAGTTGCTGCTCTCCCATTTGGGACATTCATTTTCTTAGTGGATAGTGCAATATCAAATACTAGATCCTATACGTTTTTTTTTTGGTTTTATTAGATTCTGGTCATTATCTCCCCATTTGGGCGCCATGTCGGATATTGACAACTTCCTTCAATATAAACTAAAATTCTCCCTTTCACAGTCACTTTTCCCTCTCTCTATCTCTCATTTGTCATTCTCATTATCTCCTCATTTGGGCACCATTGCTGTTTTTGATGATAAACTAAAATTCTCTCCTTCATAGTCACCTTTTGCCTCTCTCTCTTGTCATTATCATTATATTCCCAGTTGGCGACTTTTAAAAACGGCCGACTAAAATTCTCTCTTTTACAGTCTCTTTTTCCCTCTCTCTTGTCTTTATCATTATCTCCCCATTTGGGCGCCATGACGGCAAAATTGCAATGACTTGTCTTAACAATCGTCTAAAAGTTTTATTGCCGACTTCCTTCAATACAAGCTGAAGTTCTCTCATACACTAAATCATTGTCACTCTCTCTGTCGTTATTCTCTGTTTTCTCAGATCCTTGTTATTAACTCCTTATTATTTTATAACGACCGTCCACAATTTTTATTGACACTTCCATCAATACAAGCTGAAACTCTCTCTTTCATTATCTCTTTACCCTCTCTCTCTCGATGTCTTTGTTTCTCAGATAATTGTCATTAACTCCTCATTTGGGCGCCATGGCGGTAAAATTGCAGTGACCTTTAATAACGGACTTTTACAAGTTTTATTACCGATTTCCTTTAATACAAGCTAAAATTCTCTCTCACTACATTTTAGTTCCTCTCTCCTCGCCTTTTTTTGTTTTCTCAGATCATGGTAACTATCTCCCCATTTAGGCACCAATTCGGTAAAATTTTAGTGTCTTTTAATAAAGGCCGTCTACAAGCTATTTTGAAGACTTCCTTCAACACGAGCTAAAATTCTCTCACTCACTATATATTTTTGTTCCTCTCTCTCTTTTTCTTTGTTTTCTCGGACCCTAGTCATTATCTCACCATTTGGGCGCCATGGCGGTAAATTTGCAGTGACTTTTATTAACGACCGTTTTTTTTATTATTGCCTCTCTCCTTCTCCCTCTCTCTCTCTCTTTCGTACTTTTCCATGCGTGTATACAGTTAAAAAACATCCTAAGTAATTTAATCTCTCTCTGGCTCTTTTTTTGTGGAAACATCTTTTCAAGCCAAAACACAGAGCTGTATTTTTGTGCCAATATTTTTCTTAAAAAATAAAATGAACAATTAAAATAAAACAAATACAAATTTTTGAGTAGCTAAAGAACATTCAACTAACTTACAACAACAACAAGAAAAATATGGGATTTTATTGATGATGTTATATAGAAAAAATAAAAAAAGATATTTATTCAATCCTGGACAACACACAAAGTAATAGGTTGTAAAAAGGATTAAAAAAATAAATTAAAAATAAAATAATTATTAAAAAAAATTGCTGAATGAAGAAACAAAAACGAACAAAGTTTAAGACATTTTAGTTAAAAAAATATTAAAAAATATATACAAAAAAACGTATTGTTTAAAACAATACACAAAATACCACATACACACAAAAAGCTAACAAGATTCTT